CTCAGTCTTAGGACCTTTGCTCTTTTTGAGTTACATCAGTGACACAGATGAAGGAATAGTCAATAAATTACTTAAATTTGCAGATGATATTAAAGTCTTGGGTGTTGCTAGCTGTGAAGAGGAAGCTGCTGATTTACAAAAGGATTTAGTTCATTTAGTGAGTTGGGTAAGTAAATTTCAGATGGGTTTTGAGTATAATAAATGCAAGATAATGCATGTGGGTTATCATAATTTGAATTATAAGTATAATTTTGATGGGAATAACCTTAACAGTGTTATGAAGGAAAGAGGTCTTTGTGTAATAGTCGACCAGTCTCTAAAGCCATCCAAGCAGTGTGCTGTTGCTAATGGAAGGGCAAGTAGGGTTTTAGGTTGTATCTACAGAAATAATGAATAAAAGTCTAAAGAGGTTATAATTTCATTGTACAGGTCACTGGTTAGGCCACATTTGGAATATTGCGTTCAGGTTTGGGCTCCTTACCTTAGGAAAGGCAACGAATTGTTGGAAAGGGTTCAGAGAAGGGTTCCTAGAATGGTGCCCGGGATGGAGGGTTTATCATACGAGGAGAGGCTGAAATTTGTTTTCTTTTGAAAAAAGAAGAGTTAGGGGGATCTTATTGAAGTGTTTGAGATTGTAAAGGGAATTGATAGTGTTGGTGCATCTTCTTTTTTCATATTTAACAGTAAGAATAGTAGGAGTAGGGGACACAAATATAAATTTTGGCAAGGTGGGAGTCATCTTCAGCTAAGACAGTTTCATTTTTCTAATAGGGTGGTTGGCCTTTGGAACGAGTTGCCTTCGGATGTTGTAGAGGCAGTAAATTTAAGTGAGTTTAAGAAAAAGCTTGATAAGTATATGAATGATAAAAGCTGGGTTTAAGATTTTTTTTAAATTATTTTAATTTAATTTAACGGTTGGAACAACTGAGATGGACCAGTAGGTCCCATGTTGTCCCAAAACGTTATGTTATTATTAACCTTTCTTAACGGTTGTGTGATAAGTTATTTTCGTTGACAGTATATGACTGTATATCAAATAATTAGCACCTAGTCATAATATAATCGATTATTTTGTGTGATTATTGTAACAAACACCAAATTTGCACTTTAAGCCAGATGAGGTATCTTTTGTAAATTTATTGTTATTTTAAAATAAGAAACAAAAATTATTGACAGACATATAAAATAAAATATTTTTGAATCAAATACGATAACACACCCTGAAAATTGTTTTAGTGAAAAGAAAATGCGTTACTTAAATATCTTAAACTTTATTATGGTTGTACTGCACCATACCATGGCTCATAGATTGCTTGTGTCAGTACTTTAAATATTTTTGAAACCAATTTTTAGAAACGGAATTTACTGATAATTTTAGGCTATGAAAAAAGATTTATATTAAAAATTAAATTATTTTGATTATAACATAAAACTTAGTTTGAAAAATATATATACTAAACAAATTGACCAATAAAAATGCGGTACAAACTTATTTCGGTACTACAATGTTGTTATAACGGTCGTTAGTATTCCAGAGGGCAGTAGTGAATAGTGAGTAAAATGGTGTGTGGTTTTGTTAATTTAGAATTAAATGTCTAACGACGTTATGTTGTAACTTGGAGAAAATTGTTGTTATATTAGCGATGTTTACGAAACCGAACGAGTGGGATTATTCAACCTACGTTTGTCACATTCATATGACCAATTACGAAAAACAATAAGGTAATGACTAATGTTATTTTTTGAATGTTTTCATATAAACCTAATTCAGTAATTTACTAAATTGTAACTTTTTATTTTTAAGATAATGTAAAATACTATTTCATAATAATAATATTAGTGAACCAGGATTGGTAGTCGTGCTCGGTCGTAGAGACTAGAGGTAATCCAAATAGGATTAGGAATAAAATATTACTGGCATTGTCGTAAGCTTTGCGTGAGTAAGAGTATATTCTAATCTATATTTCTATATTGGTATATACGCACTTAAAGTAGCCAGACATTCACATTAGAACTTAATAGTAACAAAGTCAGGTAAGAAAGACTAGTAATAACTAGTATATAACTATAACATCAACTTGACCAACTCTCACTGATTCATGAATGTGTATAATCATAATATTAATCTATATTTCTATATTAGTATATACGCACTTAAAGTAGCTAGACATTCACATTAGAACCTGATAGTAACAAAGTCATGGAAGAAAGACTAGTAATAACTAGTTTATAACTATAACATCAACTTGACCAACTCTCACTGATTCATGAATGTGTATAATCATGATATTAATAGTGACTACTGTCAGAGTACCATCTGATTTTGATCTTGGTTGTGGGCTTTAATATTGTGACTGCATTGGAACACGTTAATTTGTATGCAAATACTGAAGTAGTTCTACTACTAGTATTACAATTAGTATTAGTTCTATTACTACAGAGTTCTACTGCTACTAATGCTTAAAGTTAAATTTAAGAAGGCATTTTTAAGTTTGATTTTATTAACTTACGTTATTGTAGCGCTTCCCAAACTTTTTCAGTTCACGGCACACTTTTAATACCCCAAACTTTTTATGGCCCATGTAAATAAGCCCGTATAGCAGGCCTAGTGGCACATCCATGACTAAAACAGGCAGAAATTACAGTTATACTGTGTATCAAGGTGAAGATAAATCAGATTTTAAAAATTTATTAAATTGATAATAAATTTATGTTACTAAATAAAAATTGCTTAGTTATTGCAAAAATTTCACAGCACACAGTTTGGAAAGCACTGCATTATTGTGCTATTACACTATTAAGTAAAATAGGTGTGAACATATTTGTGAGTAGGTGGAATTGTTAATCACTTCAAAGCATAATTAAAACAAAACAGTTATACTCACAAAAGTAATATAGATTTAATGTAATTATTGTTTATGTCTGTTGAACTATTATGTTTACAAAATGGCAATGTACCCTGCCTGAAGTGTGTCTAGTCTTAGAAAAATATCTTTCATGTTCAGTAAGAAAAATATTGAGGAAAATTATAATTATTATTTACACTATATATATAATGCGCAAGGAAAAATTGTTGTTTGTGTCAGCATAGCTTGTACAACAGATCTTAGACCTGTATTTCAGCTCATTTCATTGTTCAGTTTTGTAACAAAAAAGGGAAATTCAATTATGTTGTGTTTTTATAGACTACAAAAGGGACACGTGAAATAATATGAAATGATTAATTTCATATTATGATTTTTAAGTTTGGAATGTTATACTAAATCAAGTGTATCACACTAGCTTTAAAAAGGATCTTAACTTATGTGTTATGAATGTATTTACATTCTGTGGGATTAAATGTCAAAAGGGAAAATAATATTCATCTTGATTCCAGAAAAGTTAAGAGCATTAAAGCATGTTTTTCTTAGTTTAGTGTTTGATGTAGGCCTATACAATACATGTTTATAAAAGCTTTGTGATTGTTGATTCAAGTGCTTGGAAATGGAAATTAAATTTGAAAAATTTAGATCTAAGATATTGGATTTATACCAGAAATTTGAAAACAAAAACACATCATAAATCATTTAAAGAATCCCTGTGTTTTCTTCTATTTCAGAATTGCAAAGTACTATAGAAAGAGAAGGTTGGATATTTCCAGTTTATTACACTTTTGCAAGCGGCTGAAAGAAAAAATAGTGTAGTTCTATCATCTATTTTTCTTTGCTTCCGTTGTCAATGGCATCAACAACAAAAAGGTCATGGAAATTACGTAAGTTTTCACTACCTTCTCGCATATCTCTTTCAACAACAGATTTATAATTACTGTAGAAAAACTTTGCTTTTATTAGTCTCTCTAACGTAGTCTGTATAAATCAGTTTAAACCTTGTACATATTTATTGTTGGAAAGATACAATTCTAAAAAAAATTGAAGGGTGTCTCATCCAGGTTTGTCAGGGCAAAAGTTTTTCTTAGTATGTTAATTACCCCATCAAATGTAAGTAGTTCCTGAAAAAGGATCTTATTTTTAAAGCCAAAGAGTGATCCAAGCTAATATTCATACTAGTTGTATTTATAAGGTCACATTGGAAGAACTAACTGCATTTAATATTTTTGATAAAGTAACAATGTTTTCACTTTGTACTTTCAAGTTGTATATTTGCTTTGCATGAATAGCACCCTTGTTTATTTTTCAATGAAAGGAGTACCTTTTAAAATTCACATGCATCTGAACTGTATTGAAAACTTTAGTTTTCAGTGAAACTGAAGAGCAACAACTGATTTTGGTTCAGAAAATATAACTGTCAATTCTGATAATTGCAGTTTATTGCAAACAAGAATCAATCTTTTAGATATCTAAACATGTGCTGTTCTTAAGTATTTAAATTTACAAGTAAAAAAAAAAAAGATTTAAGTTTTCATTTTACAATAAAAAAGAGAATTTAACTTGAAAGGTTTTGTACAAGAACAGTTGGTATTTAAAATGAGACAGCATATGCTGTATGATAATCAGTTTTCCACTACCGATAAATGTCTAGCTGAAGACTGTGATGGTATTTAAAAAAAAAGACTTCCTTCTTACTTAACTGACTCTGGAGACAAACCTTATATAATATTAATCAAGAATAACATGAAGGTAACAGTTAATCTACTATGTGTGATATATTAAAGCCAAATCATCTGTTGCCCAACTGTTTGTGAAGTTGTTACCTATATTACTTAATGGAAGTTCAGTAAGCAATGTATGTGTGTACATATATATATATTAGATGAACTACAATGCTATTTGAAGGCTCAAAGAACATCAAGAACTGACAGTAGTTTGTCACATTTAACGAAACCACCATGACAAGAACTTGTACAAAAGCAAAAAATAAAAGAAAGAGAAAATACTATCCAAAATCTGTAACCCATCAGTAGGCATTAACTGTGGCAAAAACGTACCTTGTGGCATAAGGATGTTCATTCAAATTTTAAACATTACTTTTGTATTTAATTTAAAAACAAATTAAACCATGGTACCTATTTAATAACTTCAATTTGGCAATTTTTGCAAAGATTTATTTAGTAGTTAAAGAAAATGATTTGTTCTAAGCATTATTTATATTTTCCCTGCATAGTGTAGTTGCATAATTTGTTTGAATTTAGAATATACATTTTTCATAAAGAAGATGAATGGTCGCGTATTGTTGTTGCTTGGTTACTGATTCTTAAGGCTGTTTAATGAAAAAAACAAGTAGGTACAAGTTTCAGTTTGCTAGAAAGCTCTGTTAATCTTGTATAGACATTGTAGTATAGTATAATTAAACTACAACCATGTGTCTTTGAAAATGTTTTGTACAGCTCCAATTTCCATATGAACCTTTTGTTGTTGTTTTTTTACCTGGATGTATTGAGTTGTTTATATGGTGATTTTCTTAAAACAAATATTCTAATAAGTACATTTCACTAATAATTGATGTCAGATTTTAGGATTATTGGATTTTAGTATAGAATTAAAACTGTAAGAATTTTTCATTAATCATATATTCTAGTTGTTGAAACAGGACAAGTTTGAATATGATAAGGTATGTGTATATAGCCTTAATAGTTTCCATCTTTACTTTTATCAACTCTGAAATTTAGAACTGTTGAACATGGTTGTTATCATATTTTTAGTGATTTATTTAAACAAGATTATAAAGATGTTATCACTAAATATGTGGTAACTTTTCCAATAAGCACATACTTGTCAGTATTTCGAAGTTCAGGTGAATTTTATATAAATTTGTTCGTAATTCTTTTTGTTCTACAGATAGAGAGTTTTAAGAATCTTGCATTTTTGACTTTTTCTGAAGGTTTACTGTTTATTAGGGCATTTTTTTCAGTAAGTCTAACACTTACAATTTAGATTTTGGTTGTTCTATACAACATTATGTTAGAGTAAATTCCAGTGGAATGATTTTCAAAGTTGTTATATGCATTTCTCTGCAGAAGGTTAACTGTTTATTGGGGCATTTTTTCAGTAAGTCTAACACTTACAATTTAGATTTTGGTTGT